CACAATTATATCTTCAGTTAAAATGTCGGTAACTGTTTGCAAATTGATTAGCCATTGCTCCATCTTGGAGACTTTATCTTCGAGTTCGTCCAATCTTGCGTTAATCAAAGACGTATCTATTATGCCAGTATCGCCTTTGACTACATCTTGAATTATTGTCGTAAGCTGTAGCAATAATTTGATAACTTAATAAAAATAAAGCCTAATATTTTAACATCTTAAGAATTTTTAACTTTAATTATTTTCTCTTATCAAACTGTAAGTGGTGCGGAGCACTAAATATCACTCGCGAAAAGCTTACAAGATTAGCAAGCGGTATACCTTATCGATACCTTGTTCGTTGGTATCCAATCTCTTATTAATATTAATAAATTGCCATACATCCGCGGCTGGATCTGTGATTCGATCTTTTAAACGTTCGACTACCTCTGGGGACGTAGACAAGTCCTCCAGAGCTTGATATTGTTGTTGCAGCTGTTTCACCTGCTCGTTAAATTATTACCGAATAAATTATACTATCGTCGTATATAGTATCAATTCTAAAACTACTTTAACCTGTCCTACGCACAGATTTTTCCAGCTCTTTGAACGTCATTGCCGCAGGAACAGTACCATTCACGGCAGAAACTACCATCTGAGCTTCGGGGACTTTCTCAAGACCTATTTGTTGTCTTGTGTCATTTGTCACTTGCAAACTTTCATCTGCAGGCAGATGAATATTTGAAAATCAAGTTAAATCTACTTGATTTTATATAGCATAATTCATTAAATGAATGTAATTGAAAGTAAACAACAAGGATTAGGAACTTGTACCTTCTGTAAGTACATCGGCGTCTGCCCCGTCATCCCTTCGAATTCGTTGTGATACTTCGCCGGCAGCATCGGTAATATTATACTCGCGAAGTTGAAGAGCGGGGCTCGGTTTCAAGGATGTTACCATTCCCTGTAATAGCTCTCACATGAATGCCATATAAGAGAAAGAATTATCGCTTTTCTGTTCTTTTTCAATTTTACTCGACGCATTATTTTCCTTACTTTAATGCGATCCGCGTTTTCGCCACGGTACTCAACTTTAGTAGACTGTAAATTTATTTGATGCAACAAGATATGGAGGAAATTATGAAGAATATTAAAATTAACTGCGCCAACCTGAAATCGATAATTGTATCAATCATTCATCTCTAACGTGAACGATGGATGATTTTGTTATTGTATATTTACTTCCGGGGCTCCGAGAGCAAGATCGAGCATTTGAGGAAGAGAAATTTGCAGGCTGACAACATCGATGTTAGCTGCTGTTGGCGCTTCCGGCATATTGGCAATTTTCGCAGCCATTTCTACGATAATTGATTTATTTTTCAGGAATCACATGAGGATTACAATTACGTTTAACTCCTTGTTCATTAAACACTAATGGGGTTATTGTGAAGGATGTTGACTAAATTGTCAATTTTGAAAATTAATTGTCTCTTGTTCCTACATTCATCCTTTATCCGGTAAATTAAGGGTAAAGAGGAGCGAAAATAGAAGCCATACCGGTATGGCAGTAACCTAGCTTTGTAAGTTTTGTGCAATTATATAAAATATATTGAGAGAATTATGTTGAAATTGTGACATTCAGGAAAAATCACAACGGACACAATATCTAACAAAACTATTTTTTTCAGAAAATAATTAAACCAAAATTTCTGCTCTTTTTACAATGTGCAGTAAAAATTTATATTTCATTTTCTATAAATTTTAGAGCATCACACTGCAAAATCCGCCTCTGTAGAAAATTTTGCAGATATAAAAATATATAATAGTATTTAACAAATTGTAAATGAATATCATTTCTCTTGAATAGAAATACGAAATTTACGAAAACAATACACACTGTACAAGGAAAATTAACTATAAACTGGAAGTGACAATTGCAGAACAAGGAAATTGAAAAGAACAGTTTTATTTTTATGATTTTGCAAACTATAACTATGGAAGAATGTTCTTTTCTTGAATACGAATATAATAATTTCAATGTTTCAACATATGATTGTAATATGAAAAGTTCGAAACTATAGATTACTGGCGTACCGACAAGTCTGCTATTCTCACCCCTATATACCCTTAAGGGAAGTGAAGTACCTTCACAGTTGGCGCCACAAATACGGTCGACAAGTAGCGTGCCCCTATGGAAAATATTTGTATCAATATACTTCTTTTTATTCATTATGTTTGAAAGAATCAACGAAATCTCTTTATTATTCTTTTGTTATTTTTTCTAGAAATAAAATAGTACTCTTAAAATTTAATTAAATATCATAACTCCTCATTATTTGTTTAAGAAATTAATATTAAAAAAGTGCATTATTTAATTTTGATTATTATTTATAAATTATTAATTTTGATTCATTTTTAGATACTTTGCGCGCAAATAACAATTTAGAATTGTGCGTGCAAAAAACATCGCCATCAAAGAAATAATCTTCCGAGCACATACTTTACAAAAATGTTGTAAAATAACAAATGAAATATAGCGCGCGGTCTAGGAGTATTTTTCAATCATCTCCGTTGTTGATCAAACACCATCGATACGATGGGTTAATGAAACAGTAATTCACCGCGCGTCGTTTCTCCACAAACAGGCTCGGTTTATCTAACTGCACGTGGCCGATAGACCGAAACGTGAAATAGAATCAAGCTAGGCTACACTACCGCAGAGATTACATCGAATCGTATATATTTTATCGAGTTCCCGGATATGATATTCTCGAGCGTTTCCGTTAGACAGATACGATCAGCGTCAGCTCGATCGTGTATTTATACGCTCGCATATCCATCCCGCGACGATGATGAATCCTCCCGTATCGAAGAGATAAATTAAAATCGCCGTTTCTTCCAAATCGGTTTATACGCGAATCAGAGACAATGCAAATAAGTCATTCCAGGCTAAAGATGGAAGCTAATAGGATTAAATGGCTTCATAGGTTTCGACTAAATATTTCTCCATTCTGAAGAAGTTTGCTCGAAGAATACCAAGCTATCTCCAAACAGTCAAGATTCTTTTCTGTCGCACAAGCAGAGGAGATATTGGCAAAATCTATTTCCAAAGGGAGATATCTATTTCTGCTTCGCGTTCCTTCATCATCGAGATATTTGGCATAATAGAGTTGGAGAAGATCTCATGTATTTCAAGTACCGTTCTGTACGCGAATGATTCAGCATCAGTGATTACGTTATATATAGCTGCGCTCTCGAATTACCTGTGGTAAAGCCGGCACGGCGATGTTTGAGTTACATTGTTTGATCGCCACGTGAATGTTTAACCGTGAGTAATGTCAGCGTTCTTGATGGCCGGACATCTCGGTATTCGATGGCAGACAAGCAACGTCGTTCGTACGATTTACTTGTCCGTCAGCGACAGCCTCTTCTGTCTTCTTTCGCGATTTCTTCGGCCACCTTGTCAGTACGACGGCGGTCGCAAGCTCTGGAATGATGTATACGTCGGCGGGAAGGTACGCTGTGGTGACGGTGAGTGTGAACAATTCAATTTTAAGACGTCGTTTTACATTCGACGTTATTAGCCTGTTACGTCGCTCCTCAAATATTGACGCATCTCTATCGTCCGCCTGTTCCCGGCAGATTTCATTTCAGCTTTTATCCCGCGTGTAGTAGCTAGCGTCGCAGACTGTCGTATGATATATTCGGTGTAAGAGAGGAAGGTTCATTTTTCCACGCATTCCACGATTGCCTCCCGATTGTTTCTTAAACGTCTCCCGAAACTTGAATCTCTTTTTTTCAGCTTCTTCTCTTTACTCTCGGCCACGGCGAACATCCAACCAGGCACGCGCAGCGATACAATCCCGCGGTATCGCCACTCTCGTGGCATCTCGTGCCACCTTGGGAGTACATGCTGCGCGAGATTATCCTCAAATCGGTCACCCCGTCGCAGCTGGATGCCAGTATACCCCATAGGCGTCCGTTCGATGCCTCCTATTACGGCGGGCCGGTCGCTGCGTACTCGAACGACGACGAGAATGTCATTCTGTCGCGTGGAAACGTTTACCGTCTGCCGAACGGCCACTGGATGCTATGCCAGGACGGATGCGTCGATTGCGAGCCATGCGCGGTTCAGAGGAATCCCTCGTTCACGTGGATTCTGCGGAGGATCAAGCGACCGCCAGATTCCAAGCCGACGCGACACGATCTCCAGCTGACGATAATACCGCAAGCGAGCGATCGCTTCCACGCCGGCAGTTTCTGGCCGAATAATTACGTTTACGTGACGCCGCGGGGGGAACGAACGCCGACCCCGACGATTAGAGCGCAGCGCGACAACGGTCCGGGAACACCCCCGTCTGGTCTTGAAAATAGTTTTTCTGAGCATCATCGTCGATCAAAGGATCTCTGGCGGTTGACGGAACGAGACTTGAACGCCGACCGGGACGGGATGCTGCGAGAGGATAGCCGCGCTGCCGTTCAGGAGAACGTGAGCACCGAAAAGACCGAGAAAGAAGAATCGATCGAGCGGAAGCGCAGTCTCGAGAATATGAGACCTCGACAACGACCCTCGGAAAAAGCGGCGGAAGAAGCGAATCAATTGGCACCGAGGTTGATCCTGGGAACCGATCAAAAAGGTCAGAAGCATTTGGTTCACGTGGTGCCGGCGGATTATCCGACGACCACTACGTTTCCCGCGATTTCTCCTCTTCCGGAACACCCGACGTCGCACTTCGTGGAAGACCAGGCGACGCACTCAAACAATACGACCTCCAATCGTGAGAGGCAAACTTATCAATGGATACTTCACAGAATTTTCAACTCCTTGAATACGCACAGGCGATCGATCGAAGATTTCCTCGAGTCACCGACGGACAATGCAGACGGCTATCGACTGTCTTCCTCGATGGACAACATGGAAGTCGCTGGATTTGCTTGGAATAATCGCGATATAAATCATAAAAATGCTAATTCTGATTCGTTGCATCTTAATGACGCGCTGCCGCCGTCCATTCATGCAGGAAATGAAGGTAGGACAGGGAGGTATCAGCAATACAGAAACAGGTATGATTACGAACACACGAAGCAGGACAATGATTATTATACAGCATATCCAGATACGAATCAAGCTAATTGTGAGTCGCGTGGCCAGTCGCAAAAGGACTTTAATCTCGACTTGGGCAGACAACGGCGAAGAATTCCTATCAGGCCGTACTTTGTTAATAGTGAAAATATTTCAAGGGTAAGTTCACCGTCGCCAACTTTGGACAATTATTCGATAAAGGCTATTCAGAAAGCTGGTTCCGGTTTTGTTGCAAGTCCCACGAAACAAATTGATCTTAATGACGCGCTTGTCGAGAAAGCAAATAACAGTTCTATGGAATCGAGTTCGATAACAATAAAACGCGAGAACGGACAATTGTTCGACTTGGAAAGGCAGCGAAGTGGCGATGTTAATCGGGAATTCGAGGCTTCGCGCTATGCTTTCAGGGTAATTGTTACTACCGGGTCGCCGGTAATTCGAAGCGAACACGAAACTTTAAATCGCACTACAGTATTACAAATGACTACTTCGAAGACATTCTAATAGTTCGTAATCAGTAGGCAGAAAGAAAGACTAATGGCAATAGAACTGGAAGTTATATACATATATATATATAACTGTAATTATCTTAATTATACGTTTATATAATCGTAGAATAGTTTGCACGCTTTTCACTGGCAATGCATGATACTAAAATCCAAGTTTATATTCTCTCATAAATAAAAATACATCAAGATTAGTTTAAAGCTTTTTACTTCGAGGTAATTTAATTTCATCGTCAGAGATTTGTTACGAGCATATCTGAATACGCGGTCGTGCGGAAGAACAAAAATATACGCCGAAAGAATGTAACAAGGCCGCGATATTTGTTAGAGATTTTACGAAATTGTGAGTCTTCATTAAAAATGGTTGCATAATGTACACCGGGATTGGTAGAGCGTGTTATTGTAATTTAGAGGCACACGTGCCTCCATCGTATAAACATGGATATGGCTGGAACCCGCACCGAAGCGTGCGTGTGAGGGGAAGAAGGCGGAGGCTCGGTTTGAGAAACAGGGATAGGCTGACGCTTATATTTAATTAAAGAGGATACGGGTTCAAGTGCGGGGGAGGAGGTCGGATGAAGCAGGTAGTGCCGGGCTGCGAGGAAGAGCGAGGGAGCGAGCCTGTGTTTCTTGTCTAATTATCTACCCTCCCATCCTGGTCGACCTGCCACGTTCACTTTCTACGTCTAGTTGTTGCTTCCATCAACCTGTCCTCTGTCTCTTTCTTTCTCTTTCTACCGTTACATTTCGATCCTGACTGCATATTCCTCTTTGTGTGTCTATTTGTTCTCTTCTCTCCATTAGCGTCTCAGTGGAGAGACCAAGAGAGACAGCCTTGTGCAACTTGTCCCCCCATGCGTTCTTCATTTTAATTTATCCGCTCGCCTATGCTGATAAACGCGCCAATTGCAAACCGTCCCGAGGATCGACCGGACGGGCTTCCGGAAGTTTTTAATTAAACCGCCGCTTCTTCCTTCCCTGCCGATCAACCGCGCTGACGCGATCAGAAATAAGATTCGTCGCCCCGGCGATGTCGAAACCTCGTCGTGTTTTTTTTAGAGCAACCTCGTCTTTCTAATCGCCTCTCTACGCTGTCTTTCTCCGACGTCCCTTGTTTATCCTTGGGCGATCCCTCGCTGATTTTGAGTTCCATCCTTCGTTCCCTTCTTCCGTTTGCCGCATTCGAATGGTGCAAAACGATCGACTCGATCCCTGGCAGATTGGTTTTAACGAGTTTCCTTTCAACGCGGTTTATCGAGGAATTGCGGGCGCTTTCGATGAGTCCCCGGCCGAATACGCCAGGGAAATTTCCACGGAAGATCTTAATTAAAGACGCCCGCCGAAAAATGAGAGCTCCCCCCGGATTGGGGAGAACGGCGTTATTGCCGCACCGACGCGGCGGATCCGATTATCGCGCGGTCTGATCTATTAACTGTGTGTACGTAACTTAAAGGGATTCGCGAAAGTTGAGCTACGTCGCGCTGCCACTATAACTCAGGTAAATAACGATCAAATTTTAGTTAAGAGGTACTTCACCGACGTAACGTGCATTCGGGCATTTCGGATCGAGGGGGTGGCGCTCGTCAGAGACGTTTCACGGAATATTCGTCTCGATCTAATTGAGCGCAACAAAGTCCCCGTAACTGAAAAAGTTATATATATTTCTTGCGGTACGCGTGTACCATCGAGTGTACACCTGTACTTACCGCGTGAAATAGAATCGCCATGTATTCGGCTCACGCCAAGCCAAGGGTTGATCAAAATCGTCATGTGAAATTCAGCGAACGACGCGGCGCAAAAGATATCGTACAAGGGTAAATGTAATACCGCAAAACGCCGAACTAATAGTGTCCTTTCAAACTTCGCCTAAAATTCAACCCATTTTATACCGGTAAGCTCCCTCGCACGTATACTCGCACGCAACTCGGAGATAAGCGCACAGCCGGCGCTGTAAGTCTATCGGGCTTTCAGACGGCAAAAAGTGGAGGAAGCGGAGACGAGATTGGGAGTAGGAGAGAAAAGAAGCCCGGCTTTTAACAGTAAGACGATGGAGGCCGGGACCCGTCTGATAGGAGATTGACGCTCTAGCGCGTGAGAGACCGAGAGACGCGGGGGGGGGGGGGAAGAAAAGGGAAACAGGGCTTACTAAACGCGTGGCGAAAAGGGCGTTTTCCCCGCCGTTTTCAGATATTTAAATCCGCGCCAACGACTTCGGGGTTCCGCTCGCGGATCACCCCCTGCCACCCCCTCTGCGATACGAAATCGCAAGAGGCGAGAGGCTCTCCGGGCGCGGCGAATCCAGGGCTCCCGTCTGGTTGGCTTAAATGAGAACGGAAGAAACGCGGTGCAAATAGCGGGAAGGAAGCGAGGCGGTAGAAGAGATATACGAAGAGTGCAGAGTGAGTTGTTCGAGCGTGACGTGTATTCTTGTCAGGGTGAGGCCGAAAGACGTAGTACACAGCAGACTTTACAGGCCGTTCGCCAGGGAGGAAAAAGAAGACGACGCGAGGGAGCGAGGGAGGAACGGAGGGACGGAGGAGAGCGAAGGAGAAATTGTGGAGAAAGACAGGATCCCCGGTATGTACTTCTTAATGGTGTGGGTGTGTCGGTGCGGGGATGGAGGAGTAAGTTTTAAAAACATCCCGGCCGACGCGCGCCTTCGTGGTGCTGGTTTTATCGCTGCCTCCTGCCTCCAGGAGGACCCCTCTTTCTCGCTCCTCCTCCTCTCTGTAAACCCCCATCCGGGCAAAGCCTTGCCACCGGAGCACTTGCCTACGTACGTACTGTCGGCTGTAAATCCACCGAAAAGCATCTGCGGGTATCAAGAAACAAGTCCGGGCCGCAAACGCGCGCGCGCGACGGGTGAGCTTTTAAAACCTGCATGAGCGCGGCGTGCAATTTCGTAACGATCTGTGCACGCAGGTGTTCCGTGTGGAACAACGGGAAAAAGTTACCGCCTAAAATATATACCCGGCGATGTGCCGCTACCCGCTAGAGAGTGCTTAGAGCTTTTTTACCAAACGCGTTTGTCATTAATGCACAGCGCAGCGAGAGAATACGACGAATAATACTGTAATGAGAGAGGCGGAGGGATTAATATTGAAAACCTCGAGTTGTTATAACAATTAAAAAAATGTGATCGACTGCTTCTTTTAATTTATACGAAAAAAACAAAGGAATTGTACTTGCGCGCAAACCATCCTCACGATAATTTACTTTGGGTCGCGATCGATTAATAGTATAATGATAATTCGTTGACTACTCGTCCCGATGAGCATCTACTCGAGCATACTCGAGTGCAGGGCGTGTAACAAATTACGTGCAACAAACTGAAACTACGGGGCGGCGAAAGAAGGTGACTAAGAGACGTTTTTAGCGCAAGTTCGGCGCTGACGCGCGGAACACCTTCTCTCCGCTCCTTCGCGCTCGTCTACTTCGACGTTACCGCGCGCTCATGTCATTCCCCCGGCCTTCTTGCTCGAGATACTTTCCCTTTGACCGACAGGAGTAGATTGGATATTTTTCCTTGTGGCGCACCTGGTTTTTCCTTCCTGCGAGGCGGTCCAACGGGACCGCGTATCGCGTCTGAGGTTCGCGCCTTGCCTGACACAATGTGCGTGTGCGCTCGCACACTGAGGCGCGCGGTGTCGATGCCGCCCGTACATTCGCAGCGGCGAAAGCGGTGCCGGGGCACGGCGCGAGAAACAAGTCGTCGCATCAACATCCTATTTCGTTTCCCATTACGTAAACGTCTGAAGCACGCGATTTATTTGTTTTATTTTCGTACGGAATGTTCTTTGGCAGGACCTCAAAGGCAAGCCCGGGCCCACCGTCTCGCTCGTCGTCCTTTTCAGCTCTCTCTCCATCGCACGGCGGTTACCCTTGCCGCTCGCGCAGCCCTTGTAGACCGACGACTCCTCACATATGATTACCATCGACGTGAAGCGAGCTAATATCCGAATTTTTGCGATTCCTTTTACGGGATATTGAAAGCCATTTTCCTCCTTCCTTTTGCCCTGTCTTCTTCCATTCCGGAACTCTGACTTGCCGGCTCTATTGGAATACACCGTCTTGTCTCTTTATGGATTCATCGGGCAAAGACCGAGCAAAAAACGGCCAAATATATTGATCATGAATATAAATAGAAGCGCGGGATTACTTTGGTTCACGGGCTTGCCCTAATTTCCTGGATCGAAGACGGGGGATTTCGCAATGCTGCTGCCTGATTAAATCGCAAAAGTCAAATGTTACCGCACCGCGTATCCGCGAATAGTAATTGCACAATCAGCCGTGCGTTCTCTGTGGCAATACTTGATACTAATGCATACAAATGCGATAATTTCTGCGATTTACGCGATTCCGCGGGGTAACTGTGCGAGAGTACGAAATCGCTATTTCAATATTAAATCGACACGATAACTCCGGCAGTTTCGAGGCGATTGATATTAATAAATGCAATGTCGCATACATTTATACGAATGTAACATCATTTACGTAATGAAATCTATGATATTAGGCAGCGGGTACGCGCTTTGAAAGCGCAATCGATTGCTTAATCAATTAAAAAGACAGAGTAGACTGATAAAGCGTACAAATCGAGCAATTATATTTCCAATCCATTAAAATTGCAAATCGAAACTGCGCAAAGAATGTAAAGCACAAAAGACACCGGGCGGGTGCAGGAACGTAGTAATAAAAACTGGGGTAATGAATATCCTTTGAGCGCAACGGCTTGTACGTAATGAAAGAATTTCTACGGCTTTAAAGAATGCATTTTCGTTGTTGGTAAAATTGCACGCGAGGGACGGGACGACGGTATTGTCGAGGTGTACTTACGACGCAGCCGGAATCGGGACAATCGTCGGGATCCGCAACGAAATTTCGTTTCTACGTATTCGTACACCCGGGAGCGAGGGGGAAGCCGCTGACACCAAAATCTTGTGCACCAATGCCCACTAATGCCCAGTGGGCATTGCTTTATCTTATTTATCTTATTTTATCTTTGTAATTTCCCAGCGAGACCTAATGCCCAAAATATGCCTAGTAATTCCCAAACAATGCCTAGTAATGCCGCAAATCTGTGCACCACAATGCCCTCAGCGAGGGGGAAGCCGCTGACCAAAATCTTGTGCACCGATGCCCACTAATGCCCAGTGGGCATTACTTCATCTTATTTTATCTTTCTAATGCCC